TTTTTCTAAAAAAAAAAAAATTTTTTTCTAAAAAAAAAAAATTCTAAAAAAAAAAAAACATTTTGAAAAAAACTTTTTGAAAAAAAAAATTTTCAAAAAAAATTTATTTTCAAAAATTTTTTCAAAAACAAATTTTCAAAAAAAATGTTTTTTTGAAAATTTGTTTTTGAAAAAAAATTTTTTCAAATTTTTTTTTTCAACTGCTCTGCTGAGTATTAACAAACCTCTCTCTCTCTCTCTCTCTCTCTCTCTCTCTCTCTCTCTCTTTCTCTCGACTAAGTGTCCTGGGGAACCAGGATGGTTTGGAGTGTTACGAGCTGCAGGTCTGCGTTAAAGACTACTGTTTTGGCCGTGCAGACCGTGTGGTGGGATTGGCTGTGATTCAGCTCAGAGACATAACAGAGAAGGGAAACTGCGCCTGCTGGTGTGCACTGGGAGAGCGCATCCACATGGACGACACCGGCCTCACGGCCATGAGGATTCTCTCGCAGCGCTCCAACGACGACGTGGCTAAAGAGTTCGTGAGATTGAAGTCTGAAACCCGCTCGACGGAGGAGGGGCGATGAAGAGGAGCGGGAGGAAGACCAAACAGGATGGAGTTTTTTTTTCTGTATCAACGCCGTTCCTCAAACGCCTTCTGCACAAAACCTCACAGGAAGTCGACCGTCACATTCACCAGCCTGTTAATAATTATTTAAAGTCTTCTTTAGACAAACGTCAGTGTCCCGGTGCTGCCCCCGGGGGTCAGAGGACGAAGTGGAGACACGGTTTTAATGCCTTACAAACGGTGAAGAAGTTTGAAGACGACGATCTCGTGTGTGTTCTCCACTGTGAAAATACTGCGTTAGTACTTGGTGGAAATGAAGTTTTACTACTTCATCTGATTTTCTTAAAAAGTAGATGAAGTATTAAAATCCTAATTTTATTTTATTTTTGAATAACGACTGAGCGCCCCCATGTGTCCAGTTTCCACAGCGCTTTTTTTTTCCAACAGAAAATGTCCAATAATAAACCTTGAATCATAAACCACAGGTGAAGACACGGGCGGAGACGTCCCACACCAGAGGTGAAGCCACAAAGTACGAGATGGAGAAAAACTCCAACATAAAATAAATATAATATAAATGTGATTTATTATACAGTTTATTATTTATTAAGCAAAGAAAACGCTTTTTTTTTGAGAACTTACT